GGACATGAGTCCAGAAGGAAGGCGGCAGCTGGCTTTGTTTCTGGTGAGCTAAGGGGTGGGAAGCAGGAAGAGGGTGCCTGAATGGCCAGGGGGCACGTGTGGGGCTTGGGGACAGGGATACCCTGTAAGCATTGGAAGTAGCAGCTTTTGTAAAGTGGGTAGTGGGTTCGGAGGGTGTCTGTGTTCTGCACCCCACCTGTCCCACCCTCTCCCCTCAGGCTCAGAAGCATCTGCACAACTTCGAAGCCACACACTGTACCCCACTCCCGGCCCAGAACTTCCAGATGCCCTGGCACCTCTAGGGACCACACTGGGACTCATTCTGGAAGAACAGATGGAAGGAGACACGAGGAAGGACCCTATTACTTGTTATCCTCTGTGTTTATTTTGCTGTTTATAGTTTGTGGCAAGTGGGGGGACCATCCCGCTTCTCACTGTTCCTCTTGCACGTTTCCCCTCATCCATCCAGTAGAACCTAACCTTCCCCAACACACTCCCTGCATTAAATGAATGGATTATTCCTAATAATTAATAAAAGTATTTTTTCTACTGGCTGGCTAATTTTGTGACTTCCCAGGTGTTCAGGAAGCCAGGGTTGGGAGTGGGGAGAGTCGAAGCTCCAAAGGGCTGGGCTTTGAGAAACAAACCCCAATTCCAGACAGCCAGTTTAACCCTCCCCATCTCTGCTGTCGCCTCAGGCAATAGCACGAGCTATTCTTGTGCAATGGGTCCCCAATCCTCACCCTTCCCTGGCATGCCTAGTACTATCACCACTGTGCAGCCTCCCTGGTGCCTGCCTAGGCCTTCCTGCATACAACCAGCCCAGTAGACCAAGGTTGCCTCCTGTTGCTCACAACTCACGGGCTTTGTTGTTTCCAAAGTACTTTCTAGCTCCTGATTTTCACCTACTTAGCAGTTCTACAGGTTTCCAGGTCCAGCCTGCATGGTCTCACCATCAGTCCTTCCAGTTTTCCTTGCTTAGCTCTTGCTCTCTCCGTGGGGAGTGAGGCACGGCCTGCTCCCCATGTCTTATGCAGCAAACCCTGCACACCCTCCTCACCATGTCAAGTCTCTCTCTTCACATCCTCTTTGCAATTCAACAAACACAGGGCCTGTCAGGGACCAAGGAGTAGGTGCCAAGGACTCGGGTCTTCCCAGAGCCATACTTTGCCTTTCTGGACAGCTGTTAGAATATTCTTAGTTTGAACTTGAGGAAATTGGTTCCCTATAACTTCCATTCTATTTCCAATCCTTGGACCTCACAGAACAGAATGAGTCCCTTTCCCACCCATCAGTTTGTACCCTGGCCACCTTCTTCCCTTGGAAACCTCTTTTCCAGATGAAATACCCCTAGGTTTACCACCCTGGGTCCACCATTTTGAACAAGATACTTAAGGTGGACAATATTCTGAGGTCCTGGATACAGCCTCTGGTTAATTTCAGTGTCTCCTCCAACCTCAAAGCACAAAGCTCTGCTGCAATCCCTGGGGCAGAGGCTGTCTGCCCCAACCAGCTCAGCAGCTCCTTAGAGGGAGATACACTGAGTCTCCACTGAAAGGAATGATCTGAGACTTGTCAGTTGACATGATGCCTCCTATTTGGGGTTAGAAGAGAAGAGGTGGCCACAGCTCCAGAATGTTCCACCTTTAGCAAATACCGGAGAGCTGATACTGGCATCCCCTCTCCTCTGTTCTGCCCTAGGGAGCAAACAGGGTGGGAAGTATGGAGCATGAAGCTGTGGGACCAGCTGCATGATTCTGAACCTTGCCTTCCAGAGCCATCAGGACAGTTAGCCCCCTGGAAACCAAGTCTTTGTTCAGCTAAGGAAACCTCCTTAAATGCAAACACGGGGTGCCCCACATCTCACACCCTAGACACAAAGGACTCCCTCTTCCTGGCCATGGCCATTAGGGACTCTGTTGACCTGCCTCTACAACCACGTCTCCCTCCCCCTTCTTCCTGCACATACTACAGAGAACAGTGGATGCCATGAGGGGCGTATGGATACCTGAAGTGGGTGGGGTGAAGTGAGGCTCAACATTTGAATTCTGGACCACGCCACCACGGAGTCTCAGTCTACCCCCTCAGATTACTCCCTATCTGATAAGGCTCACACCCCCGCCCCCGGGGTGGGACCAGCTCCCCATCCACTCCTCACCCTATTTATCAGCGTTCTAGCAGTCTCGGGAGAAGACCAGATGAGATGCAGACACCACATCTGCTGAGGCTCTGGCTCTTGCTGTAGTGGGCACCAGGTGAGGCCTGGACACCCAGGCATCCCAGAGTTGCTAGGCAAACTGGGAGAGGGGATGGAGGCTGGGAAAAAGGAGAGCTAGCAACTGGACAGGAAACCTGGGAAGAAGATGTGGGCCCCGGGCTGGGCCACCCCTTATCTTACCATGTCTCATTGGCCCAGGAGCCACCCTGCGCTGCTCCCAGTGTGAGGTGCTGGACTCGGCTCTGAACTGAGTGTCTGGGTTGAGGGTTTGCTCCATGTCCCCGGGAGGGGCATGTGTTTCTCGCACTGTCACAAGTGAATGAGGGCCCCGAGGGTGAAAGGCTCCAGAGAGTGGGGGGCCCAGGCGTCGGGGATAGCCAGGTCCCTATCCATCCATCCATCCAATCACCAACCCTTCACAGCTCCCTCAGGAGCCCAGTCATTCATTTTTTCATTCATTTCTATTCTGATTAAAGATCCCCTCTGTAGTTCCTCTCCAGACCTCTCTGTCGCGGCCACTCCCCTAACAGAACCTGGCTTTCGCCTGGCCCAATCATCCATAGCTCCGCCCCTCATTCACCCCGATTCTTTCCTCTAACTGCAGCGTTCTGTCCTAAGGCCCGACCTGCTTTGTTTGGTAATTTGGCTGCTTACCCTCAGGTATCCCATGTCCGGGGGGAGGGGCCCTCAGCATGGATTTCTCCAGCCGCTGTTTTCACCATGGCGACTGTTGCAAAGCCCCGCCTCTTCACCCCAGGAAAGCCTCCAAGGAGCCCGTCACCATGACAACGAACTCTGGCGGCTCTGCGGGCACAGAGGCCGCGCCCTGCCTCGTGGACGGTGGAGGAGCGAAACAAAACAAGGGCGGGATTAATGACCCTAAGGCCACGCCCTCTCTGAAGAAGGCCCAGCCCAGCTCCGAAATAACTACTCGCCTGTTAGCACTTGCTACTCCCTGGGCCCACGATTGCCGTAGCTCCACCGCAAGTCCTCCCGGACCTCTCAGGGCGACCCCTTAAGGGAGGCCAGCCTCAGCCACCCATAACGCCCTTGGCCTTTTCGTTGCGCTTATATTCGAGAGAGGGAGTCAAAGGGCGCTGTGAAATTCCCTTCTGCTTCTCCTTTGCCCTCTTTGCTTCAAAAGCAGCCCCCGCTGTCTGATTGTTTTCGTCTATCACTTTGTCCCTCATTCAACCAACATTTATATCGGTCCCAGGTGCTCCTCCCCAGTTCTCCATTACTCTTGACTTTTCTCTAAAATAATTCTCTTATTTTTATCATCCCAAGGCTCTTGGGGTGCGCGCAGTGGCGTGGGTTTTCCTCTCGTATTTCGTCTTTCGCGTCCGCCTTTCTTGGCGTGTCTCCGTCAGTTTCTTCCCATCTTCCGCATCAGCACCCCGAGACCGGATGATTCTTGGATAGTGTTGGGATCACAGCAGGGAACCCTCGGGCAGGGCCCGGCCCCAAATCTTCAGACTGGAAGTTGGAGCAGGTGGTGCGTTCCTGGAAGCCGAGGACTTCCCCTAGCCCACCGACCCTTAAAGCAAAAACCCTGTGTCTCTCACAGAGAGACGGACCTGGCGAGATGCCGACGGAACAGGCATGGTGGGTCCAGCAGGTCCCCGGCGGGGGAAGTGGATGGGGCGCCTGGAGCCAGTCCGCGGCCGCTCATTGCTTGCTGTGTGGGCTCCAGAATCCGGGTGTGGGGAGGGATGTTAGCGCCACAGTGCCACGTTCCGGGGAAGCCGCGTAGTGCTCTGGGTGTCTGACAGGGCCGGATGCCTGGGTCCCGACGCCGGGCGCGCCCTCCCCAGCCGCCCGGCCAAGAGCTGAGCTTGGGCTGGGGGCCGCCTTCGCGTCTTCCCAGAATCTCTGAGGTGCAGCCAGGCGCGGAGAGCGAGCGCACAGCGCCGGAGCCTGTGGGTGCCGGAGATCAGACCCACCGACCTGCAGCTGAGCTGAGGCGGGGCCGGAAAAGTCGGGCGGAGGGGAA